TGTATTTTGTGGAAATCATGTTTCTCTCATACAACTGTCCCTCCATCGCCTCAATGGAACTTATATTCTTCAAGTAATTTCGCTGTTGGTGACTAGCCATGCAACTTAGGATGCGCATTTCTTCCATCACAAATGAAACATAACAAAATAACTCGTAGTCTTTAGTTCGACTAGCAAAGCAAACAATAAAATTCTTGTCATCATCATCTTCAACATGATAATTACTGCATTTCCGGTCAACTTTAATTGCTCTTCAACCATTTGTCGTCTTGAATTCAAAAAACTCACCATCCTAGCCAGCATTTGATTGCCTGAATGAATTTTCTGCTTTGTTGTAAAATGTGATATTTCTTAGGTTTAACTAACTAACTAACTAACTAACTAACTAACTAACTAACTAACTAACTAACTAACTAACTAACTAACTAACTAACTAACTAACTAACTAACTAACTAACTAACTAACTAACTAACTAACTAACTAACTAACTAACTAACTAACTAACTAACTAACTAACTAACTAACTAACTAACTAACTAACTAACTAACTAACTAACTAACTAACTAACTAACTAACTAACTAACTAACTAACTAACTAACTAACTAACTAACTAACTAACTAACTAACTAACTAACTAACTAACTAACTAACTAACTAACTAACTAACTAACTAACTAACTAACTAACTAACTAACTAACTAACTAACTAACTAACTAACTAACTAACTAACTAACTAACTAACTAACTAACTAACTAACTAACTAACTAACTAACTAACTAACTAACTAACTAACTAACTAACTAACTAACTAACTAACTAACTAACTAACTAACTAACTAACTAACTAACTAACTAACTAACTAACTAACTAACTAACTAACTAACTAACTAACTAACTAACTAACTAACTAACTAACTATCTAACTAACCTGTGACTAACTAACTAACTAACTAACTAACTAACTAACTAACTAACTAACTAACTAACTAACTAACTAACTAACTAACTAACTAACTAACTAACTAACTAACTAACTAACTAACTAACTAACTAACTAACTAACTAACTAACTAACTAACTAACTAACTAACTAACTAACTAACTAACTAACTAACTAACTAACTAACTAACTAACTAACTAACTAACTAACTAACTAACTAACTAACTAACTAACTAACTAACTAACTAACTAACTAACTAACTAACTAACTAACTAACTAACTAACTAACTAACTAACTAACTAACTAACTAACTATCTAACTAACCTGTGACTAACTAACTAACTAACTAACTAACTAACTAACTAACTAACTAACTAACTAACTAACTAACTAACTAACTAACTAACTAACTAACTAACTAACTAACTAACTAACTAACTAACTAACTAACTAACTAACTAACTAACTAACTAACTAACTAACTAACTAACTAACTAACTAACTAACTAACTAACTAACTAACTAACTAACTAACTAACTAACTAACTAACTAACTAACTAACTAACTAACTAACTAACTAACTAACTAACTAACTAACTAACTAACTAACTAACTAACTAACTAACTAACTAACTAACTAACTAACTAACTAACTAACTAACTAACTAACTAACTAACTAACTAACTAACTAACTAACTAACTAACTAACTAACTAACTAACTAACTAACTAACTAACTAACTAACTAACTAACTAACTAACTAACTAACTAACTAACTAACTAACTAACTAACTAACTAACTAACTAACTAACTAACTAACTAACTAACTAACTAACTAACTAACTAACTAACTAACTAACTAACTAACTAACTAACTAACTAACTAACTAACTAACTAACTAACTATCTAACTAACCTGTGACTAACTAACTAACTAACTAACTAACTAACTAACTAACTAACTAACTAACTAACTAACTAACTAACTAACTAACTAACTAACTAACTAACTAACTAACTAACTAACTAACTAACTAACTAACTAACTAACTTACTAACTAACTAACTAACTAACTAACTAACTAACTAACTAACTAACTAACTAACTAACTAACTAACTAACTAACTAACTATCTAACTAACCTGTGACTAACTAACTAACTAACTAACTAACTAACTAACTAACTAACTAACTAACTAACTAACTAACTAACTAACTAACTAACTAACTAACTAACTAACTAACTAACTAACTAACTAACTAACTAACTAACTAACTAACTAACTAACTAACTAACTAACTAACTAACTAACTAACTAACTAACTAACTAACTAACTAACTAACTAACTATCTAACTAACCTGTGACTAACTAACTAACTAACTAACTAACTAATTATCTCATACATGATTTTGTTATTATTGAGTGAAGTTACTTGTAAATGTCGTTTGGCATACTTTTAAAATAAACTTGAATATACATTCTATGTACTTGTTGCTTTGTCCCTCTCTAATGGCTTTTGCCATAAATGATTTATTAAGGGAACATTTTGAACAAAATAGACATTAGTTGTATTAGTGTTCAGGCTTGACATTTACAAAATTGCTTGATAGATTTACACACATGATAAATTGATTAGCGTACCGAGGTGTTTTAAATGGCGAAGGTATTTTCTTAATAATAAACTTCCAAAAGAATATGAAATCAGGATATTTTGAAAATGTAATCGTTTTGCTTGAAAAGGTGAAAATGTCATCTAACAGGATTAAATGATACACAGTTTGGCTGTTGTTCTAAATTTTGAAGATATTTTTGAGAAATATAAACACTTTAAATATTCTAAATTATGTCAGACGAAGTTGATTACATTATAATAATATTATTATCACTGTGGGTTCTGAGTGGAACATAGGGTTTTAGGAAAATATCTCCAATCTGTTGTATTTTTTTAGTGTTCTTATCAACTGTCTAGCTGCATGATTGCTCATAATCTCCCATATCCGCCTACTCTTCACACGATCTCCTCCATGTTACAGTAGCACTGACGACTCACTCTTCGTTTCCCAATTAGAATCTATTCAAGCGATAGCCTGCATTGTGTGAGATGTCATTCGATGGTCTCCTCCTCAGTGTCATGTGTTCAATCCATCTCTATTTTCTCCAATATACTTGTTGAGCAGTCTCTTGGTCTCTCGTTTCTTGGTTTCTTCTCAGCCACAGTAGTTTCTTCTTGCTGATTCTTTTTGGCCATTTGATCTTCAGTATGAAGGCAGTGAAGTGGACAGCTGTTGATAAAAGACATCAACTTGTTGAAAATCCTCTTGGTGACACGGCGACCAAGTTTCTCATTGATGTTCAGAATCTGAGTCTTGTTCTTTACACTGGTTGATCGCATCAGAATTTCAAACCGAATCGCCCATGCTATCCGACTGCCTATGGCTGTAACCATGCTTCCCAGCCAGATAAGTAAAGGAAGCACCTAAACTCTGTCAAATTTCTCTTGTTGGTGGTGATCACTGCTGCTTGTAGCTGTTGTAGATGTAGTTTGGTTATCTGAATCACCTCCGTCTTCTCTATGCTCACCTAGAAGAGTCCTGCATTCAGTGCGAGTCAGCGTCTTATGACAGTTTGTTAGTTTTCGCCCGCCAACAACTCTTCGATTTTTTGTGACATTAAATATAAATTATCCATACGCCATATCCGCATCTTCTAGAGTCTTCCTATCGGTAAGTCTAACATATTCCTGTCTTCTCATTCCCCATGCACAGTCTGACACAATGAGGAATATCATCGCGGGTGATAATAGGCAGCCAGCCAGCCAGCCTCCTCTTAATCTCGTATTCACTTCGAACGCCTCACTGAATGGGTTTTCAGTTGAAGATCACCTGACACATGGCAGGTACTGTCACATAGCTGACTGTTGAATGAGGGTGACAAAAAGTTGGGCACTGCATGCCGTAGTGTTGAAGTAGTTTCCAAATTACTTCGCTGTCAACACTGTCTGTTGAAGGCTTTTTCGAAGTCGATGAATTCGAGGTAGGGAGAGTTTTGACTGCCATTACATGCTTTGTTCTGTGATGACGATGCGTAGATTTGCAACTTGATCAACAGATGACTTGACTTTCCTGAAGCCAGCTTGTTCTAGCCTGAGAAATACTGTCGTTAATTCTTAGCAAATGAATGTGGAGTGATTACCACTGGTGGTTTTCTTAAATTGGAGAAATACGACTGTGTGCCTTGAAAATCAGGCCATTAAAAAACTATCAGAAGAACTGTGAGTTACTTTGAATACTAATATATATATATATATATATATATATATATATATATGTGAATAATTTGACATTATTTGGCAGATCAACTCCATTTATAATCTTGATTTTTCGTCTACACCTATTCAAAGCGAGTATACTATCGTTGTAGATACTAATTATCTCCTATTATCGACTACTGATATTTGTCAACCAGTAGTATATAACATCATACAATTATGATAACCTTTTATTACATCAGTCAAATCACATATTGTGAACGTCATTTGAATAATTTTGGTCTCCAAAGGAAACTGTAGTGAACTGTAGTCACTTTGAGCTGTGTTAACTGCAAAATCGCGAATTCGACTAGATATTTTACCAGTTCATCTAATATGAACTGATTTGACTGTCACGGCTAGGTCAAACCACCAAAACAAACAAAACAGGCGTCCTGTGGTGTTAACCTCACTTCAATAATCTGGTTAGTTAACAAGAACCACTGTACTGGTTGATTTGAGTGGTTTTTAGTAAGCTACTTATTTTAATTATTCAGTAGCATGCAGTATTATATGCAAATTTGCCGGCTTTCTCAATTGTCATATATGGTATAAAAGAGCATAACACATAATGTGATTTGAATAATCTTATTTCTCAGACTAGACTGTGGTGAAATTTCACATTGGAAACTGATAATTTCATTTAAAAAATTTTTTTGCTCAGTAACTTAACTGATTTAATTGACTTTTTTAATCGTGTGAATTCATTTACTCATTCTCTTTCTGGTATTTTTCAGCAGAGACATTTTTTTTTCGCTTTGAACTTCCAATGGGTATAGAGCTTGGCTTAGGCTTTCTGGATAGAATAACTGGTGCAAGAAATGGAGCATTTCAACATTTGGAGGATTTTACTGATCGACTGAATCATTTTTTCAGTTGTGCTATCATTTTAATGCTATCTGGTGTAACAATGGCAAATGTTTACTTTCTTAGACCGATAACATGTACACTGCCTACAGCACCAGATAATAAATTCAATGAATTCGCTGAATCTGTCTGCTGGGTACGCGGTACTGTAGCTGTACGTGAGAATGATGAAACACCGACAAGTTATGAAGATTGGGAAAAATTACGTCAGAAAGCTGATATATGTGAGTGAAAGTATTCACTGATTTTCAGGTTTTTGTTTGTGGGGATTTGAATGTTTTGTGTTAAATTCCGAAATGGCGTTAGTTATAGAACTACTGAAGACAAGGGATTACTCGACTGTCGTCTCTTTGTTGTCTCAGACTCGTCGTCAGTACGAATCTGTGACCCCCCTCTATGGGGGGGGTTCGGATTAAGGACCTCCAGATTACAAGGCAAACGCATTGACCCCTAAGCAACTAGGTTCTGACTCAGTTGTCCATGAATTCTAACTTATGTGTACTCGCTATATATATTAGCAAGCCACCAGCCATTGGTGTTTACAGGAAACCTGCACATTCAAACAGATATTTGGATTTCCGATCATCCCATCCTATGTCAGGGAAAATAGGATTGGTGAAGTGTCTAAGTAATAGACCACAAAAACTAAGTAGTACCAAGGAAAATCTAAGACAAGAAGTGAAGTATATATTTTTATTTTATTATTTATTTTTGATTACAGCTTGATATAAGAGATGCTTTGAGACTCAATCAAAAATTACCCTGATAAATTAGTCAGAAATGTCAGGGAAATGCAAAAATAAAATAAATAATGACAGTAGTGATACTAATAATAACAATATTATCAATAATAACAATAATAATGATAATATTAATGACGACATGCATGTCAAACATGCGCAAGATAATGACAACACCAACAATAAGGGATCTAAATCATCAGTAGTAATTCCATACAAGGAAGGAACCTAGGAAACCTTACGCAAAATTCCTAACAAGGCAGGAGTAAAAGTGGCTGCCATTCAAGCCATCTACAAACTCATTTAGAAACACGCTTTCTCAGTTGAAGGATCAATCCTGTAGAGCCTTTGAAACAAAAAAATTTAGTTTATCTGATACACTGCTGGAATGATTGTCAGGCAAAATACATAAGTCAAACTAGTAGAACAGGGGCAGTCAGACTAGCCGAACGTAAAAACCTATCTGCAAAATCTAGATAAGTTGACCCGAATAAGATAAGAAATCTAGAGAATAGTTCAACCATATCATTACATACAATCATACACAACCATAAAATAAGATGGGATAGGATGACAGTTTTGATATCTAATGTAACAAGGTGGAGGGAGAGATCGGTAAAGGAGTCTTTGTTTATCGAATTAACTGCAAATACGTGTGATAAAGATGATTCATCACTTGTCCCAGATATTTCTACTACCCCTACGATGACAAATAGGAGAGAATAAAAAAACTATAAGACCGAAGTTTCGAAGTCGTGTGATTACAATTGATGGCATGATTATGAGCAATAAATTTTGTTCGTAACCTCGTCATTCAGTAAATAGTGCTGTTTCACTGTGTGATACATCCAATAAACAAACTAATATGGAATTACTTAATGCCACACTTTCCAAGTTTTACACATAGACCAGCCATTGTCATCGGCGAGTATCTGTTATGATACCCAATTTATTGAAACCTTCTGACGTCGACGTCCCCCTGTAACTTCAGTCAACTTCTTCTTGTAGTAAGTCATAAAAATGAGCAAAAGAATAACTTTCAAATGTTGAATAAGGCAACAATGATGATTTATGAAGCATAAGGTGGTACCATCATTGTTTACTCCGTCGGCTACTCATCAACCGTATACAGCCTAAAGAAATTATTAAGTTTATTTTCTATAGTTGTTTCGTAAGAGTTAGTTTTTGTTTTTTACGAGTTGATCACAGATTGATATCAGTTAGAGAACCGTTGAAAAACAGGGAGTACTGGACAGCTGCTGTTTCATCCTAGTTTGGGAATCATCGGCAGTATGCACACACCACCCGAGGTTTGAATCCAGGACTTTCCGGTTACAAGGCAAGTTACTGGGATATGATTCAATGACCCTTCGCTTACTTTTATTTGTGAAGAGGAGCAGGATAGTAAACTACATTTACTGGATGTCTTGCTAAGTAGGCGAGAATATGGGTCACTTGGGAGAAGCGTGTATAGAAAAAGCAAATTCACAACGCAATACACACACTTCCTTAGTTACGTACCAATTGAATATAAAGCAAATGTTATTAAATGTACGGATGACCACTAACAAAAGGAATTTGAATATGTTTACGATTCCTTTATGAAGATGGACTATCCGATTAGTTTCGGGAAGAAACACAGTGAAAAATTGGAGAGAAAACCTGAGACTATTACTGTACGTAAAAAACCTCTATTTATTAAGTTACAACTTAACGGTGACTTGTCAAGTGAGATTTTATTCCAGAGACTTTCCATGAATATACGAAGAACGTTTTACGCAGTACGCCTGTGTTTTTCATTCTCTAGACAACGAACGATTGCGATGCAAACGAAGGATAAGCTAGACAGTTTCACCACATCTATGTGCATTTATCCCTTCAACTGTGCCTGTGGTGACAGTTATGCTGGGTGTACTACTAGACATCTTAGCGAAAGTGTCACTACTGAAAAATTCCCATCGTGGTTTGACAAAGGACAGAGAAAAAGAATCCGTAGCCCCATTTTGTCACATTCATTTGATAGTAGTCGCATAGTGGAGAAAACGACAGCTTTCAAGGTAGTTCACCGTAGCCCACCGAATCTTCCCAATAGATTTCGAATTCGTCTACTGCACACATGCTCCGAGTTTTCAGTAACTGAGGTGTTTTTTGCAGTATAGGGTCATTAAACTCACAGTCAGTCTTCTGTCTTTTTTCCGGTTACTTGTCAGTCGAAAGAAGAAACAACAAAAACGGAAATGTCAAGTGAACATAGAGAAGGCAGAGGTGATAAAAATAATCGGTTAACGATAAGAACAAGAGGTACCATTTACCACCAACAGAATAAATGTGAAAGATGTCAGTTCTTTCACTTACCTAGAAAGCAAAGTTTCAACTACAGGCAGTCGGACAGCACGGATGAAGATGGAAAATAGATGTAGGCAGATTTTGATTGGCTGTCGGCTAGCTGGCTTCCTATTGGTCTAAAATATAAGTTAAAGCGGTAATCTTTTTATTTTGACACGGAAATTTACAGTCAGTATGATTTAGGGCTTACCTTACCATTATATAATAGCGTGTTAATTTTTTTGGTATGAGTGTAGTGTGATAGTAACACGCTATTTGGATGCATTGGTGGTGTTTAAAGTGCATTAAGATGTATGAGAACGTCTAGTAAGTGAATATAAATCAACAATAATTCCGATGCATTTATTTTAAGTCCAAAATAGGATGTATGCATTTTTGATTACTAGGCGAATAAAATTTAACTACAATTTCTAAAAAATTAATGTCCTTAATTAGTACATATAGATAAATATATGTGTTAAATAATCTACTTTTTTAAGTTGTCAATCTAATGGCCTGTGGGATTTGTGCATACTAGGTCAGCATAAATCAAGTAAATTTCCCTTCAAACGGCTGAGAGCGACAGTTTAAAGCATACTTTGGTTTCGTGATGAAAGCAATTTGGAGTCAGTTATAAATTACACCGATCTGTGTCTTATTCATACGTTTTTCAGCTGAGGATTTCAGGTTCATAGCATATCCTGGATTACGGTGCTTAATACGGTTTATCACTTAGACCGCAGCACTACCAAGCTTAAAACAATTCTAAATTTATTCTGGCCTATTCCTCGATAATGACTTTTTATGGTAACTGAAGATCATATTTACCCACTATGTTCTGAAATGACACAGGTTGTGCTTAAAAAGACAGCTGCGTGCTGAATAAAAACTTTCCGCTCTGGAGTAACGCTAATCCATGTTTAGTATGTCCTGTGAGGGCTGGAACAACGTTAATAAGCAAATCCAGTAGGATCGATTTAGTGCCACTCATGCTGAAAAATCAGCGCACAGTTTCACTGTCAAACAATGACAAAACAGTAAGGGAGTTTAATGTTACTATTACTAGCATAGTCTATGTTACTATATTAGCATCGTATACGTTAATTAGCTCAATGATTGCAGGTTTACCATAATCCTTGACTACCAACATAATAACTGGGAATTTCAGGCTAAAAATAAGCTAAACAGTAGCATCCAGTGACAAAAACTGACCTACACACTGTAAAATGAGCAAAACATCTAGAAAAACCTTTAAAATTCAATGGAATACGAATTCACGAAAACATATAACTAGCCAACGCAGGAACTCCTCATCATGACCTAGAAACTGTCTGTAGCCTCTTTCATATCACGTCACTCAGTTGGCGAGAAACTTGGCTCAAGCATAACATGAGAAGCATTTCCAGTAGTCTACTGTAGATTTTCATCAACAGCTGCCTTTGCTAGCTTCATAGTGAAGATCAAATATCCGGAAAGAATTAATAGCGAGAAACGTTGGGAACGAACCAACAAGCAAAGATCTATTACTCAGCAAATATGCTGAATAAGATGGAGATGCATTGAACACACACTCAACCGACCGGCAAATTGCATTGAGCTTAATGCAGGCCATCACTGGAGTGGAATGGGGTGAAATTTCGCGCGCGGATGATTTATGTTTAATGTCACATAAGCTCAGGAGAAATCCAACGAACTGACTGAAGAGGCTGGCTGGCGGTGAAGACAGGACTCATCCAGGTGAACGTAGAGAAGACGGAAGTAATAAAGATAACCAACCAACAGCAACAGCGATCAGCACCAGTCAGCATCAACGGGAGAAATTCTACAGAGGTTACTTCATGGCTTCACTTCTCTGGTCAGGAAGCACGGTTTCAACCATAGGAAGTCAAAACGAATGAAGATGTCCAAGCCAGCTAACCGAAATTGGAAAGGCAGAACAGACCTTGAACAAGCCGAAATCAGTGGGGAAATCTGCTCAACACTCAACATAAAGGACATCATTCAAATATACAAATCCAGCATCAAGTCAGTCAGTCAGTTCTTCCACATAGATCAGAAACTTAGTTCACGCATCATGAGGAGCATTTCCAGTATTATACTGCACATTGTCATCAACAGCTGCCCACTCCCCTGGCTTTATACTGAAGATCAAATGGCTGGCCGGTCAGAAAGAATTAGCAACGAGAAACGTTGGGAATGAAACAACAGGCTAAGGACAACGGATATGAATCAGACACATACCCAAGAGACCTATGAATTACATTCCGCCCCAAACCCTCTATCGAGTGGAACTAGGATGAGAAACTAGAAGTTCCTTGCCTTGGTAACTGGATGTCTTTATTCCCTCTCTCTCTTTTGATTACGTAATCTCTGGCTTTAACCTCAACTCCTTCCATAATTTTCCAGTTTTGCTTGTCTCTTGTTTCCATGATTTGAGTTCAACTCAATACATTGTTACCTAACTTATTAGTTACTATGCATCTAGCGCACATCTCATCTTTATTATGTAACTCCTTTACCATTATATGCATACATTTATTTTGTTTAAACTTGAACTGCCTGTGTAAAAACTATATAAGCGCAATTTTCTGAGCACTGTTTACTAATTGTGAAACTTTCTGTCAACTGACAACATGTAAAATTTGCAAGTATGTTAAAACGTGTCTGTACTTAAACCTCATAATTTATTTAGGCTGTAAACAGCAGTTGGATGAGAAGCCAATGAAATAAGCAATGATGGTACCATCTTCTTATTCTGCACAAACCTCCACTGTTGTTCTTGCTTTATTCAAAAAGTTGAGCGTCTGCTCGAGAGAAGAATGAAGAAGACCGTGTGGGAAGAAGGTAACAGCCTGTGGACAATTATGACGTATATGCTAAAGTGGACTACGAACTAACGGGAACAATAATCTTAATAATACTTTTTTTGGCAGTAAATCGATGTGGAATGAAACTCAGACTTGTTGCATGTCTGATGAGCACTCTACCGTAGAATCACCAACTCACTTATTCAGTGTCTAAATCATTATTAACTTTTGCTTCAATTTTCAACTTCGCGTGACATGATTTCATTTCTCTCCTCAATTTTTTTTTGGTTACAGCCTTCTATCAATGGGTTCCGTTTTGTTTATCGATCCAAGCGATGTTATTCTTCCTGCCTCATGTCATCTGGCAGTCGCTAGCTACACACGTAATGGGTGAAAATATAGAAGCGATACTAAGCATGGCGTACAAGGCGAATTCAGCTGAAGAGAATACCAAGCGTCAAAAACTTGTCGAGTCAGCTGCTTATCATCTATTCCGATTGGGACGTCAACATTTCGATTATCGATCGGGTAGATGGTCACAACTTCAAAGGAAAATGTCACGTATACCTGGTGGAACATTGTTGATTGCTGGAAAACGTATGGGAAATTGTATTTCACTAGCATATATTTTTATAAAAGTCTTATATTTAATAAATCTTATTGGACAGCTGAATATAATCTGTACATTCTTAGGTCATCATGGTAATTTATTCACCTTTGGTCAACGATTAATTCGTACACTGACATCAAAACACGAGTGGAGTGAAAGTGAATTTTTCCCGCGTCAAACTTATTGTCCAGTGAATGTACGTCATCTTGGTTCAAAGAATAATATGTTTACTGCAATCTGTGCATTGCCTGTAAATATGTTCAATGAAAAAATCTATATATTTCTATGGTTATGGATTGCTATTGTCAGTATACTTACCAGTGGTAGTCTAATTCTCTGGTTAATACGTTTAACACTACAAAGTCGTCAAACAGCATATATTCGTAATTATTTGATTGTATCAATTCATTCACAATTATTAGATATTTATCAAAATCATAGTTTAACTTGTGATGGATGTAATGTCGGTGTAGAGGATCCACGTATTGAAAATTTTATCAGGGAATTTGTTAAAAATGATGGTTTCTTTATATTACGTATGATACGTAATAATGCTGGTGATGTAGTCACGGCGGAAATTTTAAATCAATGGTGGCATATGTTTGTCAGCTATCAAAAAGCTCAACTAGAAAAAGAAAGTCAGCAAAATTTATTAAAAGATGAAAAAGCGAAAATGGAGCAAAAAGATTATGATCCTGATAAAGTCTAATGATAATTTTATTGAAAAATTGATACATTGATTCATTTAGCGGGTAATTTGAATGAGCTGAGATGGATTTCCTACAGTTTTGTTTGTTTTTTTTTGAAAATTTATAATCTCTGTCTCTCTCTGTCACAATTTTTTACATAATACCAAATTGGAAAACAAAGATTACTAAACGCTCCTCTTGATTGATTATCTGATTCTTCTTTAACACAAAATTTATCCTTAATTAAATAATTTAAAGTAAAAATGGCGGTTTTTAAAAAAAATAACAAGTCGTTTAATTTTTTTCCAAGAGTTTGTTTGTAAGAATTCAATTTACTTGGAGTTTGACCGTAGATTGATATGATTTAGAAAAATATTGAAAAGCAGGACGCCCTGGACAGGTGTTTCGTTCTTGTGTGGGACTCTTCAGCATTACGCAGATATACTCCCATTAGTACAGGATTGAAACTAGACCCTTCAGGTTTGGGGTATCAAGCTAATTGATCATTCAGGGACTTGTATTTGTGGGCTTCATTATCCCACATTTCACAAGTTTCAGGATTAATTTACTATTACCAAAGGATTATTGCAAGCAGAAACAATTCAAAAAACATATTTCCGACAGGTCACTGCACAATTTCCCCAACACCTACCATCAATTGTTACTATGCGACAACAATAGACAACAATCAGTCAGCGTAAATGGGAGATTTCTGAAAAAAGCGATCTCCTGTACCTAATTAACTACCGGGAAGCATCATTTCAACACAGGCGGACGGAACTGATGAGGATATGAAAGCGAGGATCGGGAAAGCAAGGCAAGCTTTCGTTTCTCTCAAGTCTGTGTGGAGGTCAACACTCAGCACTCAACATGAAAAATAAGATTCAGATTTTCAACTCCAATGTGAAGTCAGTGCTACTTACTATACGGATCAGAGACTTGGAGCCGCGTCACTTAGGGCACTTCTAACACACTACAGACCTTCATCAACAGTAGCTGTCTTCGTTCAGTACTACTCAAGATCACTTGGCCGGCTAGAAAAGATCAGCAACAGGGATCTTGGTGATGAGCGGACGAACCCAGTAAGAAATAAGTGTGCAACAGATATGCAGGAAGAAATGGATGTGGATTGGCCATACTCTGAGAAAACAAACCATCAAGTGAGTGAAATGATAAGCCAGGCCATTGTTCGAGTGGAGCCCTACCGAATAGGAGTCGGTGAGTTGGTCGTCAGTGCCAGGATGACATGGGTAAGGTGATGTGAAGAGGAGATGAAAGCATGTTGACAGACGTGGAGCAAGGTGATGAAAACGTTGAAGCGAACCGAACGCAATGGAGACGTGCGGCTAAAGTCCTGTGTTCCTCTAGGAACTAAAGGAAACAACAATAATAATGTATGCTGAGTGAGTGTAGAAATATCAATGATTGTCTAGTGTGTAGTGTCGAATTGTGTGTCAAAGTACAAAAGAAAAACAATTTTCACCATATTTTTTCTATTGCTTATGAATATGTAGCCGTAAAGTGTTATAAAACATTCAGATGAAAAGAAACATCCACCTTAGTATCCTTTTGATGAACACCGTAGAGCATCTGTTCGACCACTGTGAGAAATCAGGTTGAACTAGAAAAACTTGAAAAATCATCAGTCATAGGTGATGGTCTACACGCTATAGAATCAGGCCACAAAAGTGATTTTGACAATATTGAAATCACAAAGAACGTCAAATATCAGAAGCACTTCATAATCCAAATTGTCTGGATAGGAATGATGGACTAAAACTGAATTTCACCTGGTTACAGCACTTCACCTCCCCCATGAAGTGACAAAATCAACACAAATGTGATAAGCAATTTCATTATGTAAACATACGCTGATCTTACAATTTTACACGCTTATCAAACCCAACAATCTACACTTGGTTTTGTTGTCTTCACTAATTGGACAATATGACATCGAAAACTGACCCTATACTGAGGAATAATGATCAAGTTAGTAAACTTTGTTTTGATACCATAGCAGATATACCATTACCTCAGTTATTTTGTATTGCGATCTTCATTGTTATTTTGACCTTCAATATGTGGCTAGGTGAACTCCTTCAACCGTTACACAAGATGGTAGTAAGTCATAGTGTTAAAGACGTTTTTGAATTTATTGCTAACGTGGATGATATCAATGTAAATGGGAGGCAAATGCTTTCCTTAGATGTAGCATCACTGTTTACCAATGTACAACTTATGGAGACTGTGGAATTCATATACCTACAGATACCAGAAAAACAGATCGACATCGGAATACCGGTTATGAGTCTGAAAGAGTTGCTTTTAAGATGTACTATGAATGTACTTCACATTCAACAACCTTTACTGCAGGCAAATCTACAGTATTGCCATGGGTTCTCCGTTGGGGCCAATTTTAGCAGATATCTTTCTTGCCAAGATTGAAAATAGTTCATTGAAACAAGTAAGAGAAAAAGCTGATTCTTATTTTCGTTATGTTGATGATATGTTTATTATTCTTGATGTGAAAACTGACAGGAATGAAATGTTAAAAAAGTTTAATGATGCACATCAATCGCTCATCTTCACTTGTGAACAAGTATATGATGCTGGACTACATTTCCTTGACGTCCAATTGAGCAGGAGAGAGGATGGTTCACTCAAGAGAGATTTCTATAGAAAACCTACATCTGTAGGACAATATACACATTTCCTTAGTTTTGTACCAATTCGATACAAAATCAATTTGCTCAGATGCCTCACGAATAGAGCAAGACGTATCTGTACAGATGACTTCCTAGAAATGAGCTAGGATGCATCCAAAATACGTTGGTCCAAATGGGTTATCCTAGAAGATTTGTAAGGAGACACATGAATACCAAGTACAATAAAGAGAAACTGATAACAGTTAAAATGAAACAACTCTTCATGAAACTGCAATTTAATGGGAACGTAGCTAGCGAAGTCTTACATCTGAGATTATAGAGAGTGATAAAACGGACTTACACTGCCCCACCCTGTGTTTGCCAATTTCCAATCGACCAATTTTGATTGCTCAAGTGAAAGATAAGCTACCTAGCTGTGCCACTTTCATGTGTATCCATAAATTTAGTTGCTCCTGTGGAGAAAGTTATATAGGCCGAACAACTAAACAGCTTAACAAACGCATTAATGAGCATCTTCCTTCATGGTTCGGAAAAGGTCAAAAAATATCCATACGAAGTTCTATTTTGGCTCATTTGATTGATAGTGGTCACCAAGTGGACAAAAATGGTGCCTTCAAAGTTATCTATCGTATTCCATCGAGTCTTTCGAACGGAATCAGAACCCGTCTTTTACACATAGCTGAAGCTATGGGAATCAATTTGAGGAAACAATCCTGGTCTTTGCATAGAACAAAAGAAGTTTGTTCTACCTTTGTCTCTGCCTTGGCCTAGGTGAATTCTGTTCAAAACCATCCCACCCTTTTCTATCTTCCATCTCCTTCGTACTTTTATGAAATTTGTTTAAACTCTGATCATCGTTCCATTTCACCTTTTAAGATTTGACCTAATTTATTTATTTATTGAATTGTCTACATATACACATATTACTACCTTTGTTATTCTTATAACCTGTATAAACCTTATTATCAATATTTTGTTATCATTATAACCATCGTTATTAACTTCGTCCAAAACATTTACCACATTATTATTATTATTATTATTATTATTATTATTATTATGATTACTATTATTATTTGATCCACAAAATCAGCGTCATTGGTTAAAATTTTTTATATGTAAGTCTATGTAAATTAGAGTAAAGCCTGAAGAAGATCTAATTGAAAACAATATTGTTCGCTTATATGTCTTGTTCTAATATTGGGAATATTTAAAGACTTCAATATGTCCTTTTAATTTAAATTGACCTAAGTCTAATTTTTCACCTTTGTTATGTACTCGTCGGTAAATTATTGCTATGTACTGGTCGAGAATTTAATAGTCCTGACGCAAGAAGCCGGAAATCAGAAGACCACTAGGTTTGCGTTGATACTTCTATTTTCCAAACACAAGGAGAATGCAAAAGTGGTATCACACCAAAGTGGTAAGTGTAAGTAGTAAGTCACACAAATTGTGAGAGCGAAATATATATGACAAGGGTGTGAACAATCATTAGACAGTGTTAACATGAATGGCTAATTATAATGAAGTATCGATCCATATATACATAGCGAAATATAGCAGACATGTCAATAACCACCATATATGGATATATGTCACCAACCAACGGACTGTCAGCAAACACACATATTATATATAATATAATATAAGGAGAATATACATTGTTAAAGGAGACAAGTTCATACAAGTGAAATGGTCACAGACTAAGCGAGCAAACAGAAAGAGAGACCAACATACACACACACATATAAATGGATACATATCAACCTTCTAACTCTTTGTTATATACATGCTGAGATTTTGTAAATTCTGGTTTAATAATACTACTTTGATAAAGCTATTAGCACTAAATAGTGAAACGTCAGTAAAAACAACAATATCATTTTGCTTTTTATCATTCACTGGGAAATACATGGAAACCTTTATCATAATGAACGGATTGACATCACTTAGAGAACCGTTGAAAATAAGGGAGTACTGAGTAGCTACCTCGTTTCTGCTTGATACTCCGCATCAGTGAATATCTGTCCCCACATAAAATTTACTCAACCCAGCTGGTCACGACTTGTTTCCAGAACTTCAGGGAACTTCATCCTATTGACCGTTAATAATTGAGCACTAGAATAATTTTCAACCGTCGGTTTGCACGTATTCGATTGACTTCAAGTTCGCTCATGTAATACTGACTTCAGTCAGAAAAATCAGTGTAAACCAGGAAGTACTGGACAGCATAATTCTCACAACGTAGTCATAGTAGAGATTGAATAATGCCTATCAAAAGAAGAAATTAAAAGATATTTTGAAGGAAGCTGCTTTTATTAGATGGTTGGAGGTAATCAGCAGGAAGTCGCGCCTAAACTAAGTTTCGTAAAAGTTGACAATTACCAATCAGTCAGAAAGTCTACCTAGTGGAATGGTGGCCATATTGCAAACCTGATTGATAGAATTCAGTCTGCAGCAAAAAAAAAGGATTAGACGCATACCACTAGTTACTAGGATACAATCAAAATATGATATATATACATATATATATATAAATCCTTTCTGGCTGAAAATCCGATCTTAAGTATTGAGGCATTTGTTGACGAAATTCTTCAGCTTGTTCGCAATGCTTTCGGTATTGCTCGTGCCATATTTATTTAATGCAAAGTTTTAGGCTACTT